ACCTTCAGTACATTGCCTAGATTGTAAGTCTAAATATATATTTGAAAATGGTGGTACTGTCTAAAAAATTGATATTATCAAAGGGGAATACTTTCTTAACTCTATATATTTCACACACACAGCTTTATTAAGACCACCGGTCTTATACAGATTCACTGAAGAAGGAAGCATAGATAGAGCTCCTATACTCCAGGCAGCACAGAACCCAACAACAACCTTTAAGTCCGATACATGTCCAGTGGCCACAGATTCCATCGTGCATACGTCAAGGTTAGCGTACCACTAAAATAACTCTTTATATTTCTTGTTTTAATCTTCATTGGAAAATAGCTACCGTTGCCACGTTAGTCATCTTGAACCAAAATTTAGTCAAATATTCCAAGAATCCAATGAAAACTGCGGAGAAGTACGGTCGGACTTCTTCCCCCTTATATTTCTTAATTTAGGTAATATGTCTTTGCCATTATCACCTTATTTCAAAGGAAATATCGCAAAACTTTTTTAAAACTGTCCGAATGCAAAGCTATTGTTTTCAATTCCTACTTATATATTGTAAACAAAGAGGTTGAATCTGTTTAAAATAAGTGTTACTAAAAGATAGCAAACGAAATTAAAAACATAAATGCTAAATGAAAAAGCTTTAAAAAAAACGTTCATTTCTTCCAATTAGCTTTTTTTCTCTCTCTCTTTCTCTAATGGATAATAACAAGCTACATAAATCTGTATTAGACAAACTAATCAATAATAAAAAAAAGGGGATCGTTATAAATTGAAGGTTCAAAATTGTAAACAGGTGGTTGATGAGATGAGAAGAAAAAAAAAGATGGAAACTGGTAGGGGCTAGACAGCGCGGCGTAACACTGACCCTACTTCAAACAATCCCCCCCATTTCATCCCCCCCTTGCCACGACGTCACTAGTTTTCCAAATATGGTCATGTGTTTGAGCAGCAACGCTGATTGGCCAGTCCAACCGGCGTTCGTTGAAGCCGGCTCCATGCCGACCAATCAACGTTCGAGTCGATGCCCACTTCCGTTCCGGCGCTCTTCCATATATGGTAAAGTTTTGAGCACTTCCTGCCCTTCTCCAAGGCTACCATAAAAGCATCGGTCTTTCGGTTTTGGACTATTCCATTGCGGGCCTTCGAGCAGTTTAGACGTATCTCGTGAGTACAACCCTACACCTATAACTTTGAAAAAGATTTAAACATTTTTTCTCTCTCTCATTTTGTATTATTGATTTATTATTTTAAAAACAACAGTTTTTATATATAGTAATTTTTAAAAAAACAATATATACAATATATATTTTAAAAATTTAGTAAAATTTTTTGCATTTATATTATAGTTTTATATATTCATATTAATATTTTCTAATAGAATATAATATTTGTATAAGTTTTAAAACGTAACATTTTTACTTCTTTATAATATTTTCGCTAATTTTAGAAAGAAGTTTTAAAATTTTTATTTCTACTTTTCACACAGAGAAGAATATAAAAGTATTTTTACATTTTCATATAGAAAGTCATGATAATTTTCCGAGCTCTTAAAAACTGATATAGTACTATTTTATACTATAGTTCACTCTGATATAGGCGATCGTTGTTGATCATTTACTACTTTGGTTAGTAGCCCTAAAACCATATTCTCTTTTAGGTGATCATTTTTAGTGTTTTGTCGTCTGTAATTCTTACGTATTTTATTGTTTCAGGTTCCTATATTAACTACTAAAAAACAAGCATCATGTGTGACGACGAAGTTGCCGCCCTTGTTGTTGACAATGGATCCGGAATGTGCAAAGCTGGTTTTGCTGGTGATGATGCACCCAGGGCTGTGTTTCCCTCAATTGTTGGTCGCCCAAGGCATCAGGTAAGTCATATAAAATTATATATTTAACTATCTACACGTACTTTTAGTAAAATATAGAAATACCGGCATCGCCCACCGGAGAAAAAAAAATGGCGACGCCACGTGATCTACACTTGGCAAGAGATGTCCATATTTGGTCAAAAAGGCGTAGCTGACGTCAGCGTACGTCGATCGATAAGGAAATAGTCTTCTGTTTTTACCATATAAGCAGATATTAACAAATATTCTTATGTTTATATGCATTTTACAATTTTAACTAATACATTTTAAAATATCGTTATGATTTGCTAAATTTACTAGTTTTAAAATTTTTATTTGCAAAAAGTTTATCAATTGCACATAAATATTTATTTTATTCTAATTGCAATTTAATTTATCAAAATGGTTGAATATTTTAAATTTGCAACTTTATCAACATTTATGCCTAAAAATGCAGGCCGATTTTATAAAGTTTTTGTAAAGAAAAACATTTTTGGACACCTGTTTTTAGTAATTTATACTTTTAGAGGTAATGTATTTATAAATATCCTTAATATATATATTTTTTTAAAATCATGCTGATGTATTAAAGATTAGATAATACCATGAAGTTGCTTAAGATAAATGACCAAAGGATTTTTTTTTTAAATGTCAATTTTTATAACCTAAAAATAATATTTTTAAAGAGAAACATTTTTTAATAATGGGCAATTTGAAAAAGTCTAGAACATTTTTATATCCCTTTAAAATCATATCTTATGGATTATTAATAATCAATTTAGTAATAAACAAGGATTAGTATATAAAGCATACGATTAATTATGAACATTAGTAGAAATTCTTGTATTTTACTTTGTTCCTAGTCGCACTGTATATTTTTAATCATTTTGCTATCTTATTTTACCAGTATTTTTCAAAGTGCCTCTAATATTTATAAAAATTTTCTTTTTAAGAAAAAATAATCTAGGAGGTTGGGTGGACATTGGTCAAAGCTAGGCTAATCTTTAAAAACAGGTCAAAAGGGGGCTGACTTATCATTTGCAAATATTTGAATGTTTGACTTGAGACATCAACATTTGGGGATAGCAGACTTTGACATCATGCAAGATTGGAGATTAAAATGGCAAATTATTTTGAATTGTAAATTATTTTTAAAAGCATACATACTAAAAATAGTTTATAATTTTGAATACAGATAGCATTAATTTAAAATGTATTTTTGTCATTGATTTTATAGTTAGTAAATGTTGCTGATAATGTATTGATGCCTTTCTAAAAATGTGAATTCAAACAAAGCTATATACAGTCGAACTTGGATAATTCGAACCCCAAGGGACCATAAAAAAATTCGAATTAAAAACGGAAATTATTTATATAGGAAATTCTAGGGACCAAGATAAATATTCGAATTAAAGAGGTTTTCGAATTAAAGAAGTTCGAATTATCCAAGTTCTACTGTATTTGATATTTACTATTATGTTTGATTAGGTTAACTCTCCCATATGATTTGTTTTTCTTTGCGAGTATATATTCACAAGGACAATTAGAAAAGGATAACAAGAGATTTATATATAAATAGATTCAACTATAGGGGGTTTACCACTGATTAGCCACGCCTCTTCATTATATTTATTCATATCACAATTAGAGGTGTAGTAATTGGCTTTTGATGCTTTTTGAAAAACATTCATGTATTTTTTGCTACATATAAGAGAAATTATGATGGTACATTTTTAAGGTTACCAACTTTTATTGTGTACACTTTTACTAGATACTGTCAGACTTTTTTCCTGAAATTGTCTAGATCAACAATCAATGATATTCATAACCATTTCTCCCATATTATCTAAACATCTACTCTGTGGGGTTTGAAACTTGAATGGTTATATGTATAAGAAAAAAATTTCTTTTCCTCAGAATTGCCCCATATCTATTTATAAGCTTTTCCTAATTTTATAATGATTAGCTTTTACTTATTTTCATTTGCAGACTCTGGCTTGTGAAAGTTAAAACTGTTGTGTTGTGCAGGGTGTAATGGTGGGCATGGGCCAGAAGGACAGCTATGTCGGTGACGAAGCCCAGAGCAAGAGAGGTATCCTGACCCTCAAGTACCCCATTGAGCATGGTATTGTCACCAACTGGGATGACATGGAAAAGATCTGGCACCACACCTTCTACAATGAGTTGAGAGTTGCCCCCGAGGAACACCCCGTTCTGCTGACAGAGGCTCCCCTCAACCCTAAGGCCAACAGGGAGAAGATGACTCAGATCATGTTTGAGACCTTCAACACCCCAGCCATGTATGTGGCCATCCAGGCTGTCCTGTCTCTGTATGCCTCTGGTCGTACCACTGGTATCGTGCTGGACTCTGGAGATGGTGTCTCCCACACTGTGCCCATCTATGAGGGCTACGCTCTGCCCCATGCAATCCTCAGGTTGGACCTGGCCGGACGGGACCTCACAGACTACCTCATGAAGATCCTGACGGAGCGCGGTTACTCTTTCACAACCACTGGTGAGTTGATTCTCAGTTGTTCAAACAAGAGCTTCTGTCTTTGCAGAGCTTCCCCCAGTTTGATAGAAGCTCTGTGAAGAATGCCTTGATAGTTGGGAATCCTAGTTGTTAGCTTTTGATGCCTCAGTAACCCAGCCTGTCTAGTTTCTCTTAAAGTTAGGTGGGATCTTGAAATTTACTGTGGCAAGATACTTGGGGGGGAAAACTGAAGGAAGAGAAGAATTATCTCAATGATCTGGTTGAAATGGGTCAAAAGTTACTAGAGCTGCACTGTGATGGACACTAACAACCAAAAGATAATGGGATATCCTTTAGGAACACATAACTAGGAATAGTATAACTTGTTTTAGTAAAAAGTATAACTTGATTCAAACTTGTGATCTAACAAAAGTTATGTTGTGCAGCTGAGAGGGAAATTGTGCGCGATATCAAGGAGAAGCTGTGCTATGTTGCCCTGGACTTTGAACAGGAGATGGCCACCGCTGCCTCCTCCTCATCCCTTGAGAAGTCCTACGAACTTCCCGATGGACAGGTCATCACCATTGGCAATGAGCGGTTCCGCTGCCCAGAGGCCCTCTTCCAGCCATCCTTCTTGGGAATGGAATCCTGCGGTATCCACGAGACCACCTACAACTCCATCATGAAGTGCGATGTGGACATCAGGAAGGACCTGTATGCCAACACCGTGCTGTCTGGTGGCACCACCATGTACCCAGGCATTGCCGACCGCATGCAGAAGGAAATTACTGCCCTGGCTCCCAGCACCATGAAGATCAAGATCATTGCTCCTCCTGAGAGGAAGTACTCAGTCTGGATTGGAGGCTCCATTCTGGCATCCCTCTCCACCTTCCAGCAAATGTGGATCTCCAAGCAGGAGTACGATGAGTCCGGACCCAGCATTGTCCATCGCAAGTGCTTCTAAACTCATTCTGCACTGCCTCCTTAGTCAAGTGTGTCTTTGTAATTTATAATTTTGTAAACTATAAAAAAAAAAAAATTTTTTTTTTGTTACCTTGTTTTTATTATATTTCTTTATGAAAAAGAACTTTTTTTCGGAGTTTTTCCCCTCCCTTCCTCCGTCTCAACAGAAAGGTGATGAGTCATTTGCGCTTATTGCAAATGGCCGTCGAACCATTTTATATAATCTCTTTCAGGACTTCTTGCCAAACCCTCGCCCTATAATCCTATATGTCCTATCACTTTATTTTATTTTTTTTTTTGTAAAGCTGCCAGTTATCAATTTTTTTTTATATATATAAGAAAAAAAGTTAATTTTGGACATTTAGGATTTATCAAATGGATTTAAAAAAAAAAAAAAAAGATGGTTCCAAATAAAAGTCTTAATACCTGATGGAAGTTTTTTTTTATTTTCCACCTTCTAACAGATTGTTTCAGATTCAAATGTTTTTGCAAGGTTAGCAAGGTTTTCAGAATTTCTGAAAGGCTGGAGAAAAAATTAATAGTAAGTAAAGACTCTCCATGCGAACATATAATAAAAGGTATTAAGACCAAATCTAAATAAATAGTGTGCGATATTTCAC